GGAAAATCAGAAGAGTAGAAGAAAAGCATTTTCTCTTTCAATTAGGAATGGTAAATTCCCACTATGCTCAACAGAATAAATTGGGATTTGGCAATGGCAAATTAAAATACAACACACCGCAGAGAAAATCCGATAAACAGGGTGTGCATATACAGTGGTGCCTCGCAAGACGAAAAGAATCCGTTCCGCGAATCTCTTCGTCTTGCGGTCTTTTCGTTTTTTGTTGTGTTTTTTTTAATATAATATTTATTGGTTTTACACAAAATACAAAAATTCCAAAAACAAAAAAACAGTAACAATAACAAAAAAGAAAACAAAAGATAACAATAACAGCAAAAAAGAAAAAACAGAAAAAATTAAAATTTTATGCTTTCATTTAACCTTCATATCTTTCCTTAATTCTTTGACTTCCCCCTTTTCGTCTTGCGAAGCAAGCCCATTAGCGGTTTAGCGGATTAGCGCTATTAGCGGCTTAGTGGGCTTAGCGGATCATCTGATAAGCGGCTTAGCGGCTTAGCGGATCAGCTAATAAGCGGCTTAGTGGCTTAGCGGATCAGCTGATAAGTGGCTTAGCGGCTTGGGAAAAAGGGGGGGGAGGAAAAAAACCCCACAGGAACTCGCAAGACATTTTCATCTTGCGAAGCAAGCCCATAGGAAATTCGTTTTGCAAAGCACCTCCAAAACGGAAAACCCTTTCGTCTAGCGGGTTTTCCGTCTTGCGAGGCATTCGTCTTGCGGGGCACCACTGTACTGTGGCTTAGAAAAAAATAATGAAAATGTTTTGCGGTGCTTTATCAATGCTAGATATTTATTAGTTTTTCTGTCTGCACCATCTCGGCAAAATTATTAGACAATCCATCCAGGGAGTCGTGTGCCCACATGTGTGTGGTTGGGAGCTGTGGCTTAAAGAGTTTCTTCCGCACGTGTTTCAGATGATGACTCATGGAATGTGTTTTCAAAATAAAAGCATTTGTAATCTGGTGGAGTGAGATGTCATCATTTCTGTTTTCTGCTTGTCAGTTTTGGTTTTTCTGACTGTTTCCATCCATATACTTGTTGACTGTGCTTAATTTTTCTCTGGTCAAATTTCACTTTTAGTTTGTCAGATGCTGAGTTTGGGGAGGCCTTGTGGAATTTCCACAGCTTGAGAGAATTGATCTGCCTCAAGCAACAAAATGTCTTCCGTCAATAAAATAATGAAAAAAACCCCTACTATCACTGGTGGTAGAGGAAAGGTAAAGCAAAGAATGAAATGGGAACTGCACCAGTTCAGAAGATGTTGGTTACCCCAACTGAGCATGGGAAAGTGTACCTCCTCAGCTGTAGCTCGCTTTTATTTTCAGAAAGGTAACCAGTTTATACCAGCTGCCGTTCAGATTTTTCAAGCTAAAGTGTTGCCTTTTTGGGATCCCAATATGGATACATGCATATAATAGTGATTTGGATAAGATACATTCAAGTTTCTTGAGACATATCCTTGGGCTCCCAAATTCAATCAAGTATGAGACAATGTGTGCAGAATTCGGTATACACATGATGGTATATTGGGCATGGACTAGCACTATAAAATACAGGCTGCGTTGCTGTTTTCGTTCCCACTCTTCATGTCTGCTTTCCGATTTACTTAAGGACTCCTGTAAATCCAGACGGCTCCAGCTCATACACAGAAAAAAATGGATCTATTGGTATTGACTTGGAATTATTGTATAATTCTAGTGAGCAATATATTTATTGCAATATCCAAATTATTGAGTCAGCTGTAAATAAAATCTGCTCCCCCAAGTTCTATGGTTTTCATACAACCGATAACAGGATCACTTATACCTCAAAGTTAAAAATTCCAGCCCAACGCAGGACATTTATGTTAGCCAGACTGAATGTTTTCCCCTCAGCTTTTGTTAAGGGCAGATATTTAAACATCCCTAGAAATGATAGGACAGTGTTCTCGAGGCTACCAGCATGAGTTTGACCAAACTGCGGGAGGCAGTGGAAGACAGAAGTGCCTGGTGTGCTCTGGTCCATGGGGTCACCAAGAGTCAGACACGACTAAACAACTAAACAACAACAAGAAATGATAGACATTGCAGATGTTATTTGAATGTGCTGGACATGGTGGAACATATTCTTTTCTACTGTCCACTCTAAAACCAGCTACGTAAACGAGTGTTATACCCCTTTTGGGGTAGTTTAACATCATGGCACTAATAAAGGTTTAAAGAAGGAAAGGAAAGGAAAGGGGGAAGGGGAAAGGGGAAAGGGGGAAAGGGGGAAAGGAAAAAGAAAAGGAAGGGGAAAAGGAAGAGAAAAGAGAAGGAAAAAGGAAAGGGAAAGGGGGAAAGGAAATGGAAAGAGAAAGGGAAAGTGAAGGGGAAAGGAAGGAAGGAAGGAAGGAAGGAAGGAAGGAAGGAAGGAAGGAAGGAAGGAAGGAAGGAAGGAAGGAAGGAAGCTTGTTTCAAGAAGCATGAAATGAAAAAACCAGGGGTGGGAGCAGAGGCTGCTGAGAGCCTGCTAAGCCATACCAGCAATGGCAACTTGAGCTCAGGGCTCATGTTAACTCTTTCATGCACACAAGTGTGGGTCAATAACTGTATAGTACAACAGACTGGCCCATCAGCAGCCATCAAGTGGGAGCCAGAAACCAAGAATCAGACTTGGGATGGATGGACTTGAGTCAAGAAACTATCCAGGGGTCAGAATTTGCCAGTGGCAAAAGGAAGTGCTATTGCCGTGGTCAAGAACTCCAGACTGTTATAAACCTTCCTGTTGGGTCAAGCCAACAGTGAGCCTGGGCAAGTATCTGGTAAGAGGAAAAGAGACTCTTCTTCCCAGGTTTGCATTTAGACCAGAGTCTTCTGCAGACATTCAAAGTAAAGGCAGGAAGAGGGCAGTGGGGTCATGTGCACAAACACCACCCTCAACCTTCCTGTTTCCACACTGATTGCAAAGATTGGAAGTGGAATGTTCCTAACTCACACTTGTGCTCTTTTGAGCCCTGTGCTCTGTTTGTAACATGGCAAGCTTTCCTTCCAGTCTGAACAGAAGGTTTGGGTAGGTGATCTAGATGGAACCAAATTGGGAGGGCAAAGACTTAAATGCCCTCTGCTGCTACCAAGTTCCCTATATGGATTGGTGTCCTGCAATTAACTATTCAAACTCAAAAGCCATTCATACGAGGGTTAGTTTCATGAATGGGGGCACGTTTAGTTGGGCCCCCAAATGCTTGAGGTATGTAATTTTGGCAGGAGAGGCAACCTCTCTTGACCATCTGGTGACAATACCATGAAGAATAGTTAAGAGATGCATTTTGCAACATTGCATAGGCTGTTCTTGTTAGTTTTCAGGTGCTAGGGGTGTGGTAAGCTACTTCAGAGATTGTTGAATTAGCTGGTAAAGTTAATAGCCAGTGTGGTGTAGTGGTTAAGAGCAGTAGACTCGTAATCTGGGGAACCGGGTTCGCGTCGCCGCTCCTCCACATGCAGCTGCTGGGTGACCTTGGGCCAGTCACGCTTCTCTGAAGTCTCTCAGCCCCACTCACCTCACAGAGTGTTTGTTGTGGGGGAGGAAGGGGGAAAAGGAGATTGTTAGCCGCTTTGAGACTCCTTCGGGTAGTGATAAAGTGGGATATCAAATGCAAACTCTTCTTCTTCTTCTTCTTCTTCTTCTAATAGCTCAGAGAGCAGACCTGTGCCCAGAGCAGAACCACTGAAATTAAAGGGCACAACTAACTTCATGTTAGTGTGTTTGCTGAAAGTTTTAAGCAGCTGGAAACAACTGATTATATGTGATGTAAGTGAAAATTGATGGGTCTGTTGGGAATGATTGTTGTTTTTAGCTCTTTGCAAGTCTATTTTATTTTGCTCCTTTATCTCTTAAGTAAGGCTTTATTATCACATTGTATCTTATTATTTTTAACTTTCTGAGACAATTCAGAAACAAATGAAGCAGAATAGGAAACAGCAGCTGTTTCACTTTCTGGAGAAGGTCCTACAGATTCATCCAGCTGCTTTCATTGCATCACTGATTGCAAGTTGAGCTGAAGGAAAAGAAATAATTAACATTCCATATTTATTTTGAAATATTTATCTTTTGAAATCACTCCAATATGTGGTTTTTTGGTTTGCTTTTTTAAAAAAATAGAGCACCCAAGCTAACAGGACCAGTGGTCAGGGATGCTGGGAACTGTATTCTCAAAACATCTGGAGGGCTGAGTTTGCCTATGCCTATGACTTTTGATACAGACACCACAGAAAATTGAAGCGTATTTTTCTACACAGCTATCTGGTGATTTGATTAGAATAACTGACTTTGTTTAGGGGTTGCAATGAGAATTATCAACATGTTGCATTTGAACTATGTATCTGGTTCAATAGTGTTTGATTTGCATTGAATTGTCCAAACAACAACAACGACATAATATATAAATATAATAATTTATTAAATAATAATAATTTATTAAACAAAGGCAATAAATAAATGCATATATCAAAGTTGACCAGCAACATGACTACAATATCAAAAATGGGCGATCAAAAATGGACAGTGGGGGGGAAAAGCTTACTGGGCTTTGGGAAGAAGGTGCCCGGCTTCTGACAGGACTTTGGAGCCCTGCTCCTTCCTTCCCAAAGCAGGGCAGTCTTTGTGAAGGTGAAAGACCCTGTTGGAGCATGCTCTCAATGCAGCATGAGAGCAGTGAGAGATACTGGGGAAAGTGGTTCAGAGAAACTTCAGACTTGACAATTTCTTCCCTATTTCTCCAATTCCATTCTTCTCATTGTATGTTAGGCTTCAATGTGGGGCTGAATATTTCAAAATTCCGTCTCATCATTTTCTGCTAGTTTCACGGATACAGTTAGTAACAGATGACATAGAGCAGGAAACAGCAGCTGTTGGGCTTTCTAGCAATGTTTCGCTGTGGCAATGGAGGGAAAGTGGAATCTTCTGGTCACGCTCTTTGGCTTGCAGTTTCCTTCTGCTATTTTTGTTGCCTCACCAATGGCAGGTTAAGCTGAAAGGAAGAAGGGAAGACATTAACATTCCTCACGCGTCTGAAACGTTTCTGTGCTCAGCTGCTTATGACAAGAAGGGAACATTATAAACCGAAACCCAAGATTGAGATGATTCAGAACATTGACCCATAGTTTCCTTAAAAGGTATTGACGGCTTTTGAAAGATACATGTGGAAAATGTGAGAGTCTAGATTAAAGATTGGTCAACCAGTTCCTCTGCAATAAATCTTCTTTTGCTAGATGTGCTCCCCTGTTGCTGGTCTTGCATGAGAACACAATGCGGTGGACCAAACAGGTGGTACCTCCATGATGCTAAGAGGAGATGGGTAGTATGTGAAAACCCACAGAATCTGCCGCACCCACATTGTTCTTTTGTGCAGAGTGTTCCCATTCACATAGCACGACCTTGCGGATTAAGTATATTTCTTGCAGCAACAAAGAAGAAAGCCTAAATCACCAGAATTCTGAGGAAATCAACAACTTCTTCAAGAAGAATTATGAACATTTCTTAGTGGCAAGTGAGTGCAGGTTAGACATCCTGAAAAGGTTGCTGAGAAACTAGCTGTTTTTCTCACCTAGTTCTAATCAAGTCCTATGTATTTTTTTTTAAAAAGTGTACAGTACCTTCATTAGAGATCCTTTTGATGAGTTGATCTGTCAGCACAAAACATTGCCTGATCTGGATCTGGACAGTCAACCAAGCACAAAGGCTGTACTCTTTATCTTTCAGGAGATCATGGAGTATTTGGAAGTATCTTTTCACTCTCAGTCTGGTGAGCAGAGTTTTCTGACCTCTTGGAGATGTGGGGCCACGCTCCAGCTCTGCACTCCAACATGTTTCCAGCTTCTGAATTTGCTGGTCCAGTTTGGTCTGGAAAGCGGTTGTGGAATTGCCATCCCAACCCATTTCAGTGTGGTTTTGTCTGAAGACGTGCAGAGTCTGTTGGAGGATCTCTTGTATAGCTGCCTTGGCATTCTCCACTTGGACTTCATTGATGTTTGTGAAGATTTCCTGATTTGTTGAGAGGTCCATTTCCTCTCCTATGCATTGAATAGGAATGGTTGTTCCCATTTTGTTCTTCAGAAGCTCCAAGTTGGCCTTGTTGGCTTCATGTAGCCAGCTGTGAAACCGGTTAAAGTCCAGAGATGAGATTTTGGAGACGAAAAGCATCATTAGGCCTACATGCAGCAGCCATCCCTTGGTGATCATGGTGGAGATGAAGGAATGTGGTCTTTGGTAGAGTGCTGAATCTGGAAGACTGTGTCTTGAGGACGATGTTCTGAAGTCTGTTCCATCTTTGAACCATGTATTTAAACGGCTGGGGAATGCAGTTTTCTTTTGTGCTTTCTAGTTCCTTGTGGTTTTCTACCTCTTCTGAAAATACCCTACTTTCACTTTCCAAGTACAATTTACAATTATGCAGACAGGACCAGAAATCCTGCTTTCTGTTGGGATGTCAGTATTTGGAAAACTGACTTTTATTTTCATCTATTCAGACTTAGAATTGATAACGATTTATGATGTTAATGAAAAATCAATTTTTCTTGCCTGTTGACTCTGTTCTTTTCAAATTCATTTTATCAGTTTCATCAGTTTGCATTAGAAATTGCAAACTACTTGAATTTTGTATATCATCACATTGGCTAACACATGTGGAAGAATGTGATCACACACTGCTCCCAGAAATGCTTGTTGTTGTTTAGTCGTTTAGTCGTGTCTGACTCTTCGTGACCCCATGGACCAGAGCATGCCAGGCACGCCTGTCTCCCACTGCCTCCCACAGTTTGGTCAAACTCATCCTGGTAGCTTCGAGAACACTGTCCAACCATCTCGTCCTCTGTCGTCCCCTTCTCCTTGTGTCCTCCATCTTTCCCAACATCAGGGTCTTTTCCAGGGAGTCTTCTCTTCTCATGAGGTGGCCAAAGTCTTGGAGCCTCAGCTTCAGGATCTGTCCTTCCAGTGAGCACTCAGGGCTGATTTCCTTCAGAATGGATAGGTTTGATATTCTTGCAGTCCATGGGACTCTCACGAGTCTCCTCCAGCACCATAATTCAAAAGCATCAATTCTTTGGCGATCGGTCTTCTTTATGGTCCAGCTCACACTTCCATACATCACTAATGTTTACAGCTTACAGCTGTTAAAACATACATGAGTATCATTTGGTTCATCACTTGGCTGAAAGTGTGGACCCACTCTATTGCTTTTGTATTTGAAGTGATATGAATACCCTGTCTATGGTATTTGATCTATGGTGTCTCGTTTTTGCATCACTACAGCACCCATACCATAAGCAGTTGTTACCCTAGGCAGACATTTAAACTGCTTACAATGTATGCAAGATGGCTGGGGACTGGGCCACACTCAGTTGAGCCTTTCCATATAACTTGCATTCTTTATGGGTGTAGGGTTCTCTACATACCTTTGGAAATCCCAGAAAAGCAGAGCCTATGGCCATGATATCTGAGCCCATTGCACATACCGCTGAATTATTCGGGACTCTTTATGGATCATTATTTCTAGCCAAAACACCACCATAATCTATCAATTGCCTTCTAAGCAACCATCTCAAGGCTATTTAGGCATAAGATTATACATAAATTGTTAAAAAAACATGCAAAAGCAAATATATTTAAAACAAGACTAAAACCGAAACCAATGTTAATTGGGTCCTCTAATCAGAGTTCAGATTTGCTCATTAGGATTCCAGCATGACTGGGAGAAAAGCCTAGCCAGTGAAAAAGATCATACTCAAGATTGTAGTTGAAAGGTTTGAGTCAGTTTATTGATGCACCACACTTCAGTTAAGGCATATTGTTCTCTTCCTATGGAAGGTGATATTATGAAACTTGAATAAAGCAACTTATACAGTGTAATGTGCGATGAAATGCCTCAAGGAAAGTGATCAATTAATTAATAGATAATATATTTCCTTTAGAAATATTGTGTTTAAATGGCATAAGAATAGCAGAGAGAGAGAGAGAAATTGAACACATTTTATAATGATCAGGAACTGAATAGTAAAGGTTGAATTTGACATCAATTGCAGTATTCATGGGGGTTAGCATATGCAAGATACAAACCATGGATTGAGAATAATCTATCCTTTCCACTCTTCAAATGATTATTGAGAGAGGGAGTGATCTACACAACATTTAGGGCACTGGATTCTGTACAACCCTAGTTCTGAGTGTACTATAATGTGCCCCATTTATTTTGCCTCAATCAACAAAAACTAGAAGACACCAGACATAAACAGAGAGAGTCCAAAATGGCAGCTACAAGTCAAGGGTCAAACTAAACATTAGCTACCCATCTGTGTCTTGAAGTGGAGGGTGCCATCGTAAAATACAAATTGCACGCATGGATCCCCCTTCTCCAGATCACAACCAGTGGTTGGGGGTTGTAACAATTCTCTTTATGACAGAATCCTAATCATTTTCACATCATGAGACATTTCAACCCTATCAATTTGATGCACTAGATACTGACAGTGTAAAGGTCCAAGAAGAATGTAGTTCACCTTAATTTAAGTTCCGTTTCAACAACAAAACACCTGTTTTCTAAATCTTCAACATCACTTTTGGTCCTGTGTGATTTGAAAAGTCAAAGGGAAGGAAAAAACCTGAAACTAGAGTATTTTCAAAAAGAGGAAGCCCATCCCCACCAAAACTGAAAATGACAAAAGAAAACTTCAGCCATGGAGCATTTAAATACAGGGACATGGCTCAAAGATGGAACAGACTCCAGAGCATCTCCCTCAAAACGAAATCCCTCAGCAGTCCAGCAAGGATCACGTTCCTTCATCTCCACCATGATCTCAAAGGGGTGGCTTCTCTGTTCTGGCCTAGTGATGATGCTCTGCTTCACTGAAATCTCATCTCAGGACTGCAACCAACTTCGCAGTTGGCTAAATAAAGACAACTTGAAGCTTCTCAACAGCAAGATGGGATCCACAATTCCCCTACAATGCATCGGCCATGTGGCCAATTTCTCCAACAACGAAGGAATCCACAGCAACGAAATCCAGGGGGATGATGCCAAAGCAGCCACGCAAGAAATCCTCCAGCAGACCCTCCACATCTTCAGGCAAAACCACAGCGAAATGGACTGGGACGAGACTTCCATAGCTGGTTTCCAGGCTGGGCTGCACCAGGACATTGAGAACCTGGGACGGTGCTTGGGTGCAGAGAAGGGCAACAGCATCCGACAGCGGGTGAAAAGCTACTTCAGAAGAATCAACGACTACCTGAAAGATGACGGGTACAGCCTGTGTGCCTGGGAGATTGTCCAGATGGAAGTCCGGCAATGTTTTCTGCTGATCGACCAACTCCTCAAAAGGACGGGAAATGCAGGTACTTTCACAAAATACTTTACTATATTTAGGAACAAATATGAGAATTTGTAGATTTCAGAGTTATGCCCAGGAGTATCCATCGGTACTGGGATTGGTGGGAATTGTAGTTTTCCAAGGCTTCCTGTTAAATGAATGAGGCATTCAACAATACAATTCCCGTGCATCCAAGTGATGATTCCCCTCACATTCAGGAGCATGTAGAACGAGGACCTCTTCTCTTCCTGGTCACGTTCTCCCCACTGCTTGAGTTGTGCCCCACTTTGCAGGGCTTTCTCTGTTAATTTCTTGAAAACATTTATTCCACCCAGAATAGGTTGTTTTGCTGGTTTGAAAGACATTTAGTTGGAAAAGGGCACCCCTGGCTTTTTGAATCAGAGAGCATGGGAAAAGAAAGTTTTATTACAAGTTGCTAGGACAGAACATTCAATGTTGCTGAGTGACAGATATCATCCATAGGACAGCTTAGCTCAAAATCTTCATGTAACGTTTGATCTGGTCTTGCGTAAAGGTATGCAGTACAATCCTGATGCATTGCATCCATTTCTGTTAGGCGCAATTCAGTATCCAGTCTTAATACTATCTAAATAAAGTTAGAGAGTTGCATCAATTTCATAGGGACCAGAGGAATATTTTCTCCTTTAAATTGTAACCAGGATCAGTCGTTAAAGGCTTTGCAGAGCATCATCATTCTGTTTTCTGAATGTTCTGAGAAATTAGTATTCAAAAATCTAGTTTCTTGTGGTTCCATATTTTAAATAAAGGCTTTTAAAGGGAAACTATCACAAACTGAATAGGGGATGTTCAATTAATCACTTCTCTGCTTTGTTCCAGCTTAACCTGCCATCAGTGATGCAATGAAAGCAGCCGAATGAAACTGCAACTTGAAGACGGCATCCAAATATTTCAGCTTTCACTCTCTTTCATCATCAACGCATTCCTGAAAAGCAAAAGAGCTGCTTCCTGTTCCTCTTCGTCATCTCTTCAGCACTGTTTCACTACTTCTACAATGTGGTTTTTAAATATGCAGGGCTACTATGAAGCCTTGCAGAGTAGATAAGGGTTAAAAAGTAGGAGAAAGGCCCAGAAATTGTGCAGCTGGAAGAGTCTCTGACACCGTCTCTCCTCGTATTGCAGATCTTCTCAAGTATCATTAGATGGATGCATCAATTCCTTCAAGTCATCTTTGCCCATTTCCCACTGGCCACCTCCTATCCTGCTCTGGAGGTGGATTTGAGATTGGAGAGTGGGGCACAGGAAGAGGAAATGTGTGAAAATCACTTTCCAGACCCCCTCTAAGAGTTGGAGTTTCCATCAGCAGAACGCGGCTCACAGTCTAGGAAACAATTCCATAATTTGACAGACCTTGTAACAGCAAAAAGTCCACGATTTGTTATTGGGGAAGGCTGCATGTGATGACAGAGTTTCCAAATCTGAGGGTGGAGAAAAGAATAGCATTAAGCTGCAACATTCCAACTCACATTATTACTTTGAAAGTCTACAAATGGATGCTAGTTTTAAAATTATTTCATATCTTACAATGCTGTGAAAATGATATTTATATTTTAGAAGTGTTACTTTTAATTTTTATTTATTATATTTATTAGTGCCACCATTTAATGTTATTTATTGTATACTTTGGCTGACCATTGTTGGTATTATTATTATTATTATTATTATTATTATTATTATTACCATTCATTTATTTGTTTATGTTTATTACAAATGTTTTTATTAAAGACTGCAACTCCCGTCCACATGGTTTGTTTGGATGATTTGGTAAAGTATGGGAGACATTCTAACAGAGAGTTCAGCTGTGAATTATGGCAACATAAGATGTCAAATTACACAGAAGGTAGACAGAGGAAACATGACCCATTCATAAATGAGGTTTTGGGCTTCTGTAAGAAGGAAAGTCTGCACCTCCTATATCAGACATGTGGAACGTTTTTTTGAGCCCAAAGACCACATTCCATTGTGGGCAACTTTCTGGGGGCCAGGTGTTGGTGTGGGCAGGGCCAAAGGTCTTAATGAGGGAGCATGCTGTGGGGGTGTCTCATTGCGCCCCCTCAAAACTGTGCGCCTGGGGCCATGGCACCTCTGCCCCCACCCCACTATGCATCTGCTGTCCAAGGCCCTTTCAATTCTACAACTCTATGGTTATCTGATTCTATGATTCATCCCACCACAACACAACCATCAAACCAGGATATTCGCTTCCTCAAATGCTAACGAGCAGGAGACCCAAATCCAATATACCTACCAAAGGCTCCCTCTTGAAGCCAAGAACAACAGATCATCACCAGGTAAAACAAATCTGGGATTGATGGAAAAGCAAAACAGAAATTCCCCTATGATCACAGAACCAAAATGTTATCAATGGGGCACATAGTCATATGTGGTGGGAATGCCCAAAAGTTTAACAAATACAGCTTGAGATATCTCTAGAAATTTAAACATTTTAAATTAAAGACAGTATTCAGTTCTCTCCAAAATTTGATTTACTTTCGGAATTTGTGGGAATGAGTGAGAACATTAAATCCAAAGAGCTGCTTACCTTCCTGATTCTCACAGCAAGACTACCTATAACTCAACGATGTAAGTTGTTTTCTGATATCGGTATTACATATTGATGGAATAAGGTTTGGAACTTTGCTCTTCAAGAAAAAACTTAAATGGCATAGGTAAAGGTAAACGGACCCCTGACCATTAGGTCCAGTCGCGGATGACTCGGGTTGCGACGCTCATCTCGCTTTACTGGCCAAGGGAGCCAGCGTACAGCTTCCGGGTCATGTGGCCAGCATGACTAAGCTGCTTCTGGCGAACCAGACCAGTGCACGGAAATGCCGTTTACCTTCCCACTGGAGTGGTACCTATTTATCTACTTGCACTGTGTGCTTTCGAACTGCAAGCTTGGCAGGAGCTAGGACCGAACAATGGGAGCTCACCCCGTCTCGGGGATTCGAACCGCCAACCTTCTGATCAGCAAGCCCTAGGCTCTGTGGTTTAACCCACAGCGCCACCCGCGTGGATTGATGGAATAAGGTTTGGAACTTTGCTCTTCAAGAAAAAACTTACATGGCATAGCAGATCCCTAAATGGAAAGGCAAAGCCAGGTTCTTAATGGCAGCCTGGTGAGAATTTTTAGATCTCATTAAAAAACATCAAATACATCCACGTCTTCCTCCAACAGCTATGGACATCTGGGACAAGTAACTTGTTCTATACTTACCTCAGCCAGAAAGAAACACAGCCATAAACTTCCCTCATATTTGACCCTCAACTTCTTACATGTCAGCTTCATCATACTGATTATCAACAACGGTCATTACCCTATGCCTTACAATGGTTTTTCTGTTAATGTATTTAGAAAATATTTGTTCTGAAACTCCCAATAAAAATACAAAAAAGAGAGCCAAATGCTAACTGTTCTTCAGAATTTCAAATTTAATGATACAAAGCCATGATGGACAATTGCACCGTAGAACTGTTACAGAGACTTTAGGCTATCCCAGGTTGTAAAGACTACAGAGAGAAAGTGGGCAGTCACAAAGAGTTGTTTCCTAGTTCTGCGAGTTGTTTCCTAGTTCTGCTGGATCTCTCAGCGGCCTTAACATCCTTCTGGACCGTCTTGAGGGGCTGGGAGCTGGGGGCACGGTTATACAGTGGTTTCGCTCCTTCCTCCTGGGCCGTGTTCAGAAAGTGGTGGGGGGGGATGAGTGTTCAGACCCCTGGGCCCTCACTTGTGGGGTGCCTCAGGGTTCCGTCCTCTCCCCCATGCTTTTTAACATCTATATGAAGCCGCTGGGAGAGATCATCGGGGGTTTGGACTGGGTGTCCATCAATATGCAGATGATACCCAGCTCTACCTCTCTTTCAAATCAGAACCAGTGAAGGCGGTGAAGGTCCTGTGTGAGTGCCTGGAGGCGGTTGGAGGATGGATGACGGCTAATGGATTGAAGTTGAATCCTGACAAGACAGAAGTACTGTTTTTGGGGGACAGGCTGGTGTGGAGGACTCCCTGGTCCTGAATGGGGTAACTGTGCCCCTGAAGGACCAAGTGCGCAGCCTGGGAGTCATTTTGGACTCACAGCTGTCCATGGAGGCGCAGGTCAATTCTGTATCCAGGGCAGCTGTCTACCAACTCCACCTGGTACGCAGGCTGAGACCCTACCTGCCCGCGGACTGTCTCACCAGAGTGGTGCATGCTCTAGTTATCTCCCGCTTGGAGTACTGCAATGCGCTCTACTTGGGGCTACCTTTGAAGGTGACTCGGAAACTACAACTAATCCAGAATGCAGCAGCTAAACTGGTGACTGGGGCGGCCGCCCAGACCACATAACACCGGTCTTGAAAGACCTACATTGGCTCCCAGTACGTTTCCGAGCACAATTCAAAGTGCTGGTGTTGACCTTTAAAGCCCTAAACAGTCTCGGCCCAGTATACCTGAAGGAGCATCTCCACCCCCATCGTTCTGCCTGGACGCTGAGGTCCAGCGCCGAGGGCTTTCTGGCGGTTCCCTCATTGTGAGAAGCAAAGCTACAGGGAACCAGGCAGAGGGCCTTCTCGGTAGTGGCGCCCGCCCTGTGGAACGCCCTCCCATCAGATGTCAAAGCGATAAACAACTACCTGACATTCAGAAGACATCTTAAGGCAGCCTTGTTCAGGGAAGTTTTTAATGTGTGATATTTTAGTGTATTTTTGGTTTCTATGGAAGCCGCCCAGAGTGGCTGGGGAAACCCAGCCAGATGGGCGGGGTACAAATAATAAATTATTATTATTATAATTATTATTATTATTATTATTATTACTATTACTATTATTGCCAAATCACAAAGGCTCGCTCCTAGACTCACTCCTGCAGCTGAGAGGAATGAGGACATGACCAACTTGGACAGGCAACAAGGTCATCCAATAGCCATGGTGATGTGATGGCAGAAGAGCCACAGCTGGAAGATCGGTCATCAGCTGACTCTCCAGTGTGGGATGCGAAACACAAGAGCAGGTAAACTTCCTGTTTCCTTCTAGGCTGGGACAGACTTCCTCTGCATGTGACTAGAGGTGGGCGTGGCCTCACCTGTGCAGGGCAGGGCACCCATCTCTCTCTCTTTGACTACATGCATTGAAGAAGCAACATCTGCTTAGCTAAAGATGCTCTCTTGGCTTCCTGGCAAGAGAGGACAGAGGGACTGTCTCCTTATGAGATAGTTTCCAGGTGTATGTTACTTTTCTAAGCCAAGTCTGCCTTCTAGGATCCGATTGTGAACAGAATGTGAGTAAATTATTTTTATACTTTTATAGAAGACTGTGTCGTGTTTTATCTTTTATGTGGGAATAAGTTCCTATTTATCTACTTGCACTGGTGTGCTTTTGAACTGCTAGATTGGCAGAAGCTGGGACAGAGCAACGGGAGCTCACCCCGTCGTGGGGATTTGAACCACCGACCTTCTGATCAGCAAGCCCAAGAGGCTCAGTGGTTTAGACCACAACGCCACCCACGTTCCATATTTTCCCCATACTTCATATCATTGAAATAGGCAAAATCACCCAAATGACCCAAATTGCTGAGATGTGCATTTTTAATAGGAAGACTGTTGAAATGGTCAGTCAATGAAAGGATACAATAAATAACATTAAATAAAGGAACTTCATAAATATAATAAATACAAATAAATATAAAGAGCAAAAAGCGTTTCCGAGATATAAATAACATCATCTTCAACGTGGATTCTTTTTTCCTTTGGATCTCTAACTTCTGCATAAGACTTCATGGTAGCATTGCATTTCTTGGTTACAGAAGAAGAGGGACAGGAAATGGCAGCTGTTTTGATTTCTAGAAATCTGTCTGAGGAATCAAGAGAAAGTTGAATGGTTGTAGTTGTAGCTTCATTCTCCTCTTTCCGGTACAACTTAAAGCTGAAAGGAAGATGAAAATATGTATATGTATTTAATATGTATTTAATGATATGTGTGAAAGTGCATCTTTCTATATTTTTGGCTTTTGATGTTGCATGGAATCTGATTTTTCTGTGATATGGTCCCTTGTTGCAAATGAACAATGTTGTGCACTGGATAGCTCTTATGAGTATTCCCGTTGGTTCCCTCCATGTTGCCAGCAGGGTATTGTTGATAGCATGTGAAAACCACCAGAATCTGCTTCACCAATGTGGATACAAACAGCCCACTACGCCACAAGAAATCACATCAGAGATCAATCCAATTTATCATAGCTGGAACTCAGTGGGAAGAAACATCTACAATCTGTCTGATCCACATTGGTCTTTCATGCAGAGTGTTCCCATTCACATAGCATCACCTTGAGGATTAAGTATATTTCTTGCAGCAACAAAGAAGAAAGCTTAAATCACCAGAATTCTGAGGAAACCAACAAGTTCTTCAAGAAGAATTCTGAACATTTCTTAGTGGCAAGTGAGTGCAGGTTAGACATCCTGAAAAGGTAGCTAAGAAACTAGCTCTTTTTCTCACCTAGTTCTAATCAGGTCTTATGTATTTTTTAAAAAGTGTACAGTACCTTAATTAGAGATCCTTTTGATGAGTTGATCTGTCAGCACAAAACATTGCCTAATCTGGATCTGGACAGTCACCCAAGCACACCGGCTGTACTCTTTATCTTTCAGGAGATCATGGAGTATTTGGAAGTATCTTTTCACTCTCAGTCTGGCGAGCAAAGTTTTCTGACCTCTTGGAGATGTGGGGCCACGCTCCAACTCTGCACTCCAACATGTTTCCAGCTTCTGAATTTGCTGGTCCAGTTTGGTCTGGAAAGCGGTTGTGGAATTGCCATCCCAACCCATTTCAGTATGGTTTTGTCTGAAGATGTGCAGAATCTGTTGGAGGATCTCTTGTATAGCTCCCTTGGCATTCTCCACTTGGACTTCATTGATGTTCGTGAAGATTTCCTGATTCGTTGAGATGTCCATTTCCTCTCCTATGCATTGAATAGGAATGGTTGTTCCCATTTTGTTCTTCAGAAGCTCCAAGTTGGCCTTGTTGGCTTCATGTAGCCAGCTGTGAAACTGGTTACAGTCCAGAGATGAGATTCTGGAGACAAAAAGCATAATTAGGCCTACATGCAGCAACCATCCCTTGGTGATCATGGTGGAGATGAAGGAATGTGGTCTTTGGTAGAGTGCTGAATCTGGAAGACTGTGTCCTGAGGAAGATGTTCTGAAGTCTGTTCCATTGTTGAACCATGGCCTTGCATTTAAACATGTAGTCGCAGAAGTCTTCATTTTCTGTTTATGTGGGAATCCCCTTTCTGAAGATCAAAATGCTATTTTCAGTTGGGATATGCATATTTAGAAAACTTACTTTTACGTTTAATTTTTGACCAAAAACACCCTTAAATTAATGTGATTAAATTTTAATAGTGAAAACCAAAATCCATTGTTATGTTGACTTTTTCTCAAATTCATTTTATCAGTTTAAATGTCAAACTGCTGGAATTTCTGATGATGTAACATAGACTGGCCAGCAACATCAGTCTATGGCTGCTCCATGCGGAATAATTTTAACAGGTATGGAGTGGTTCCAGCGATGCAGTGTTTAGAGCTGGTTCCCACATACATGGACATCATTTGGTTACTCTTCCTTTGGTGAGCAACAGCTGAATGTGTGAACCCGCCCTGTTGTTTTTAATTGAAACGATTTTAACATCATGTCAGCAGTCTTTGATCTGCAGTCTTTGATTCTTACAGCAACTGTATACTAAGGAGTAGCAGTCATTCATATACAAACATTTAAGCTGTTCACAGCTCCTGAAGAGGGATGTTTGTGAAACTCCTTGCTGGCATTTAATGGTATGTGTTTATTAGCTATTAGCTGCCAATTTCTCCAACAACGAAGGAATCCACAGCCACGAAATCCAGGGGGATGATGCCAAAGTAGCCGCACATCTCCCTCAAAAGGAAATCCCTCAGCACTCCAGCAAGGACCACGTTCCATCATCTCCACCATGATCTCAAAGGGGTGGCTTCTCTGTTCTGGCCTAGTGATGATGCTCTGCTTCACTGAAATCTCCTCTCGGGACTGCAGCCAACTTCGCAGCTGGCTAAATAAAGACAACTTGAAGCTTCTCAACAGCAAGATGGGCTCCACAATTCCCTTACAATGCATCGGCCATGTGGCCAATTTCTCCAACAACGAAGGAATCCACAGCCACAAAATCCAGGGGGAGGATGCCAAAGTAGCCACACAAGAAATCCTCCAGCAGACCCTCCACATCTTCCGGCAAAACCACAGCGAAATGGACTGGGGTGAGACTTCCATAGCTGGTTTCCAGGCTGGTCTGCACCAGGACATTGAGAAGCTGGGACGGTGCTTGGGTGCAGAGAAGGGCAACAGCATCCGACAGCGGGTGAAAAGCTACTTCAGAAGAATCAACGACTACCTGAAAGATGACGGGTACAGCCTGTGTGCCTGGGAGATTGTCCAGATGGAAGTCCGGCAATGTTTTCTGCTGATCGACCAACTCCTCAAAAGGACGGGAAATGTTCCCACGCTGGAGGAATGGCAGATGAAACTTATGGACTATATGGAATTGGCGGAAATGACTGGCAGAATCCGTGACCAGGGAGAAGAGTCGATGGAGGAAGACTGGAAGAAATTCAAAGACTATCTTCAGAAACACTGCAAAATTAAGGAATGTTAGAGTGATGTTGGATTGAAAATAAGTGGTTTCCAGATGTACAGGTTAAAGTTAAGGATAGATTAAGATTAAAGATCAAGATTAAAGATGTTTAAAGAAATGGAAATTTGATAATAAAAGGGAAAAATTTAAAGGTATATGACATTAAGAACAAGGATTATGTTTAAAAAAGTTGAAGCTATATATTTTAATATTTTATTAAATTAAAGATTGGGTTTAAAAAAGTGGAAAAGAAACTGCTGGACAAATAATGTAGATTGGAATACAAAAGAGGGAGGTATGAGGAAGTCCAGAAAATAAGTAATTTAAAATTGGGAATGGAAAAGAGAGTTTGTTTTTAATTGTTATGTTTTGTGTTTTTATTGTTAAATTTTGTATTGTTTTTCTGTGTGTGTTGTTTTTTCTTTTTTCTTTGTTTAAAACTTTAATAAAAATTATTTTAAAAAAAAAAAAAAGGACGGGAAATGGAGGCACTTTCACAAAATACTTTACTATATTTAGGAACAAATATGAGAATTTGTAGATTTCAGAGTCATGCCCAGGAGTATCCATCGGTACTGGGATTGGTGGGAATTGTAGTTTTCCAAGGCTTCCTGTTAAATGAATGAGGCATTCAACAATACAATTCCCGTGCATCCAAGTGATGATTCCCCTCACATTCAGGAGCATGTAGAATGAGGACCTCTTCTCTTCCTGGTCACGTTCTCCCCACTGCTTGAGTTGTGCCCCGCTTTGCAGGGCTTTCTCTGTTAATTTCTTGAAAACATTTATTCCACCCAGAATAGGTTGTTTTGCTGGTTTGAAATACATTTGGTTGGAAAAGGGCACCCCTGGCTTTTTGAATCAGAGAGCATGGAAAAAGAAAGTTTTATTACAAGTTGCTAGGACAGAACATTCAATGTTGCTGAGTGACAGATATCATCCATAGGACAGCTTAGCTCAAAATCTTCATGTAACGTTTGATCTGGTCTTGCGTAAAGGTATGCAGTACAATCCTGATGCATTGAATCTATTTCTGTTAGGCGCAATTCAATATCCAGTCTTAATACTATCTAAATAAAGTTAGAGAGTTGCATCAATTTCATAGGGACCAGAGGAATATTTTCTCCTTTAAATTGTCATCAGGATCAGTCATTAAAGGCTTTGCAGGGCATCATCATTCTGTTTTCTGAATGTTCTGAGAAATTAGTATTCAAAAATCTAGTTTCTTGTGGTTCCATATTTTAAATAAAGGCTTTTAAAGGGAAACTATCACAAACTGAACGGGGGAATGTTCAATTAATCACTTCTCTGCTTTGTTCCAGCTTAACCTGCCACCAGTGATGCAATGAAAGCAGCCGAATGAAACTGCAACTTGAAGAGGGCATCAAATTATTTCAGCTTTCACTCTCTTTCATCATCAACGCATTCCTGAAAAGCAAAAGAGCTGCTTCCTGTTCCTCTTTGTCATCTCTTCAGCACTGTTTCACTACTTCTACAATGTGGTTTTTAAATATGCAGGGCTACTATGAAGCCTTGCAGAGTAGATAAGGGTTAAAAAGTAGGAGAAAGGCCCAGAAATTGTGCAGCTGGAAGAGTCTCTGACACCGTCTCTCCTCGTATTGCAGATCTTCTCAAGTATCATTAGATGGATGCATCAATTCCTTCAAGTCATCTTTGCCCATTTCCCACTGGCCACCTCCTATCCTGCTCTGGAGGTGGATTTGAGATTTGAGAGTGGGCACAGGAAGAGGAAATGTGTGACAATCACTTTCCAGACCCCCTCTAAGAGTTGGAGTTTCCATCAGCGGAACGCGGCTCACAGTCTAGGAAACAATTCCATAATTTGACAGACCTTGTAACAGCAAAAAGTCCACGATTTGTTATTGGGGAAGGCTGCATGTGATGACAGAGTTTCCAAATCTGAGGGTGGAGAAAAGAATAGCATTAAGCTGCAACATTCCAACTCACATTATTACTTTGAAAGTCTACAAATGGATGCTAGTTTTAAAATTATTTCATATCTTACAATGCTGTGAAAATGATATTTATATTTTAGAAGTGTTACTTTTAATTTTTATTTATTATATTTATTAGTGCCACCATTTAATGTTATTTATTGTATACTTTGGCTGACCATTGTTATTATTATTATTATTATTATTATTATTATTATTATTACCATTCATTTATTTGTTTATGTTTATTACAAATGTTTTTATTAAAGACTGCAACTCCCGTCCACATGGTTTGTTTGGATGATTTGGTAAAGTATGGGAGACATTCTAACAGAGAGTTCAGCTGTGAATTATGGCAACATAAGATGTCAAATTACACAGAAGGTAGACAGAGGAAACATGACCCATTAATGAATGAGGTTTTGGGCTTCTGTAAGAAGGAAAGTCTGCACCTCCTATATCAGACATGTGGAACGTTTTTTTGAGCCCAAAGACCACATTCCATTGTGGGCAACTTTCTGGGGGCCAGGTGTTGGTGTGGGCAGGGCCAAAGGTCTTAATGAGGGAGCATGCTGTGGGGGTGTCTCACTGCGCCCCCTCAAAACTGTGTGCCTGGGGCCATGGCACCTCTGCCCCCACCCCACTATGCATCTGCTGTCCAAGGCCCTTTCAATTCTACAACTCTATGGTTATCTGATTCTATGATTCATCCCACCACAACACAACCATCAAACCAGGATATTCGCTTCCTCAAATGCTAACGAGCAGGAGACCCAAATCCAATATACCTACCAAAGGCTCCCTCTTGAAGCCAAGAACAACAGATCATCACCAGGTAAAACAAATCTGGGATTGATGGAAAAGCAAAACAGAAATTCCCCTATGATCACAGAACCAAAATGTTATCAATGGGGCACATAGTCATATGTGGTGGGAATGCCCAAAAGTTTAACAAATACAGCTTGAGATATCTCTAGAAATTTAAACATTTTAAATTAAAGACAGTATTCAGTTCTCTCCAAAATTTGATTTACTTTCGGAATTTGTGGGAATGAGTGAGAACATTAAATCCAAAGAGCTGCTTACCTTCCTGATTCTCACAGCAAGACTACCTATAACTCAACGATGTAAGTTGTTTTCTGATATCGGTATTACATATTGATGGAATAAGGTTTGGAACTTTGCTCTTCAAGAAAAAACTTAAATGGCATAGGTAAAGGTAAACGGACCCCTGACCATTAGGTCCAGTCGCGGATGACTCGGGTTGCGACGCTCATCTCGCTTTACTGGCCAAGGGAGCCAGCGTACAGCTTCCGGGTCATGTGGCCAGCATGACTAAGCTGCTTCTGGCGAACCAGACCAGTGCACGGAAATGCCGTTTACCTTCCCACTGGAGTGGTACCTATTTATCTACTTGCACTGTGTGCTTTCGAACTGCAAGCTTGGCAGGAGCTAGGACCGAACAATGGGAGCTCACCCCGTCTCGGGGATTCGAACCGCCAACCTTCTGATCAGCAAGCCCTAGGCTCTGTGGTTTAACCCACAGCGCCACCCGCGTGGATTGATGGAATAAGGTTTGGAACTTTGCTCTTCAAGAAAAAACTTACATGGCATAGCAGATCCCTAAATGGAAAGGCAAAGCCAGGTT